CGCCTCTGGTGATACAAGACAGATTAACCAAGGTTACTGCATCTGCAAGCTCAACACATTTTTGCTTTTCTGCACAATAAAGACATTTTTATTGTGGCCTACCAGAACATGCACTGGCTGGAGCTACAAGAGAAAAAGGTTTTGACACTGTAGATTGGAGAAGCCCACATTTGTGTTCTTGGAATTATGGCCTTCATGTCAGGAATAATATTTTCACTGTCTCTCTTTTTACTGCAAAATTTTGTACCTATTCTTAAAAATTCAGTTGATGTAAAGAACCATTCTGCATTAATGTAGTAATGAATCTACACTTTTAAAAATGCCCTGAGTTTTTGTCAAAATGTACAGTGTTTATAATCAAGCCAGCAGAAGTGAGTAAGCTAAACATAAACTTGGTTATACTCAGTAAAAGCAAAGTGTATTTTAAGTTACTTCGTCCACAACAACAGCGAAAAGCTTAAGCACAGCAAGAATGAAGAAAAAATGTCATGTTCCCTGTAATTAGATTAAAATAGTTACGAGAGCTAATCCTCTTAATGCAGTTACTGCGGTGCTGCCTTTGGCGAGGTCCCTCCAGACTCTCAGGGGACATGTGATGTGGACTTACAGAGGACTTTGATTTCTTTCAGTTTAGTCCAAGAGGCACAGCCAGAGTTGATATACAGCTTGCTAACTTTTTAAAGCTAAAGGTCCTGGGTCCAGTAGAGGTCTGACTTTTATAGTGGCTATGGAAAACTTTAATTACAAGGTCATATTTCTCTATCAGAAGAAGAGTATTCGTACAATCCAATGCCTTCAAAAAGAAAAAAAAGGCTGCTTCAGTCTGAATATTATTGTTAAATATGACGGAGAGCAGATGACAGTCATGGTCATAATTTCTAACCTACTTTATATCATTAAAATTACACACCAGAGTTTGTCAACGATGTCAAACTCAGTAGGCCAGAGCTTTGCAGAGATGAGTATTGTGCCCTCCTTTAACACATCCAATTCAATTAATAAGGGCTTTGGGAATTAGCCCATGGGATGATTCAGCTGTGCTAAATGAGATGGACTGTCAAACACAGGCCAAACCCTCAAATGGCTCTTTATAGGACATGTAGGTCCAAACTGTAGTACTTTTTTTAAACATGCCAACTTTGACTCACCACTCAGATTTTATGTCACACCTACGTTACACACGTGGCCACTCACAATACAAGGGGGGGGGGGCTGATTTTTCAGTTGAAACACACTCGCCCTAGGTTATCCTCAGTATGTTAACCGTGCAAATAGGCCTGTCAGAATTATTACAACATAATTGCCTAATCGCAGTTATTTCAGATGATTGTAATCATCATTTTCCACATTTGATTTCACAATGATATATTATTTGGGTGTGGTGGGTGAGGGCAAATAAATGTAAATAAAAGTAAGCGGTAAATACGTTCATTGAGACATGGCGCCAAGTAATGTTTGTTTATTTGCTGGCTGTTATTTCTGATGTTTTTGCAGAATTTGTTTTTTGCTTATATTTTCACTCTTAAGAAAACATATAAGCTTTGCCAGACCCTACAAATGGTTCTGTGTAACTCAAACATTGGTGTGAAGGTGTGTGCATGTGTGTAGTATACCCTCTTTGAAAAGATGGTTCTTCAAGGGTTCTTTGGTAAAGAAAATGGTTCTGTACAGAAGGAACCCTTCGGATGATTAAAGGGTTCTTTGCAACAGATTAATGGAGACTGTGCTGTAGATGGTTCTATATAGCAACTTTTTGAAAAGGGCTCTATTGTTGCAAGCTTGACAAAAAGATGGTTCTTCAAGGGTTTTTTAGTAAAGAAAATCATGAAAGAACCCTTTCCATGATTAAAGGGTTCTTTGCATCATGCAAGGGTCTTCAGGGTCTTCAAGGGTCTTCAGATTGATGGTTCTATATAGAATCTTTTCAGAAAGGGTTCTTCTATTGTTACAATGTCAGGCTTTTTACAATAGAAGAACTATTTTAGGTGCTATACATAACCCTTTTTCAAAAAGGTTCTATATAGCACCATCTACAGCACATTCTCCATCAGTCTGAAGAACCTAAAATTATTCTTTGAGTGTTCGTGATTCTATATATAACCATTTTCTTTACTAAAGAACCCTTGACGAATCATCACTTTTAAGAGTGTAACCATAGTAGAACCTTTTTTGTGCTATGTAGAACCATCTGCAGCACATTGTCCATCAGTCTGAAGAAGTCTTTCATGATGCAAAGAACCCTTTAATCATGCAAAGGGTTCTTTCAGTGTTCATGGTTCTATGTAGAACTATTTTCTTTACTGAAGAAGAACCATCTTTTTAAGTGTCTACCAATTCGACAGCACTACCAGTAATATCTTCTTAGTAAACACACAAAGCAAGATTGCTAATAAGCCAATTTGGACTTGTATAGAAGAATCGAATTAACATAAACAATTAAATCATTAATCACAATTTTTATATGCCAACTGATCGTCAGGTAAAATTTAATGATCATGACGGCTCTACATGCAAGCTTTGTAATGCAGAACCATTTTTTTTTGTTCAAACATAACGTATATACATTTTGTGAATAACTGATTTGTCGTGCTCAAAGTTTTGCTTTGAAGCCATGGTATACTTCCCTTATTGGTGTTAGCCATGTAGCTTGGTAAAGTAATGAATCTGTATCAGCGGTCATGTATAACAGATGGAGTAGTTTGCCACTTAAAGCCCTGCAAATTCAATGTTATGCTATGGCTAATGCTGCTTTTATAACCAAGTAGGAACAGGGAAGTTTCCATCTTTCAAATAGGAGTTCATTTGAACAGCCATCCAACTCATAATTCCCATTAATAAGTAATAAGTCTTGAGTTTCTGAAGAGCTCTGACTTCACCAAGTTGCTGTTCCTTGACATCACTACAACATGGCTCACACTTAGAACAAGAAATAATAGCGTATTTCAACTTTTGAGTTCCTTCTTTGCAAACTTCAATTATTCTGTGCAAGATTTTTACTCAAACTGTGCTCTTGCATTTCAGTTTTGCAACTGTATTAGTGGTGAATTTCCATAGCCTACACTCTTAAAAAAGATGGTGCTTCACAGGTTCTTCAGTAAAGAAAATGGACATGCAAAGAACCCTTTGTACGACTAAAAGTACAACTTCTTTGCATTACGAAAGGGTTCTTCAGGCTGATGGAGAATGCGTTGCTTTTTTGAAAATTATTCTATATAGCACCCAAACGGGTTCTTCTATTGTTACAGTGTCAAGCTTGTAACAATAGAAGAACCCTTTTCAAAACGTTTCTATATGTAGAATCGTCTGTAGCACAGTCATGCACATTTTCCATCGATCTGAAGAACCTTTTCATGATGCAAAGAATCTTTAATCATGCAAAGGGTTCTTTGAGTGTCCATAGTTCTGTATAGAACCATTTTCTTTACTAAAGAAACCTTGAAGCACCATCTTTTTTAAAAGTATACATCACTTATTAAATAAATCAAGCCCTAACCAAATAACTCCCCTGGAAAAACCAGCATAGACCAGCATTGTGTATGGGATGCTGGTATGCTGGTCAGCGCAACCAAACCAGCACTAGCATACTGTGAGCACCCATTTTGTCCAACCTCAAATAGTGAGTTGTATGAACACTTTGAGGTGGACAGCTGGACGCTTTGAAAAGTTTTCAGTTGTCATGAACAAAGCATTTTAACCAGTTAATAGAGTTGATAAAGTAATGGATCACTCACTAAAGTGGGATCCCACGAGCGGAAATGGTAAGGCCGAGTGAAGGAGGGCTTGTTAAAACTGGTATTGAGATGGGTGTTGAGTTTACTATTTAAGTGGAGACGTCAGCCTTCCATGACCTCTGTATGCACTATATAGGAAGAAAACTGTGTAGGGGACTCCATTTACGATTCAGCGATTGGAGCCCTACTGGATTGGAGTCCCTGGTTCAAACCGTGAAATTGACACAAGACTGTGTGTTTCACATCTGTAACTCCTTAAGCTTGGCCAGGCCCATGCTCAAAACTGTACTGTACATGTACTTACATTTCCAGCATATGTCTTATGACAAGTATGCAGCAAACAGGCTAGATTTTGGACTGAATCCCAAATTGCTGCCTGTTGGGACATTTATGGATGGTTTCCTACACTGTTAGAAATCAAGGTACAAACAATGTAAATGTTCCCTCAACAGGGTTTTAATGTCTAACTATGTACCTTAAATAAGTTTTTCCAGGTGAAAAGTACATATTTGTACCTTTTCATGACCTAATGGTTTAAAACAGAACAATAAAATAAAAGGCCGGGAGACGAGACAGGGTGTGTGGAGTGAATATAACTTAGAAAATGGATTTTCAGTGGATTATGGTACAATTATGTTCCCTGACTAAAGGTACTGTGATGTACCCTTGAGGGTCCCACCCCAGTGACAGTTTTATACCTGACTGAGCATAAACATGTCCAGGAAATGTTCATGTTTGGGTGTAAAAGCCATTATTTCATGCTCTTTGTAGTGAGGAGCCATTTGAGAATCAGCCCTAAACACCAACTGGAACTGAATTTTTGAGAACAAACTCTGAAAACCTTGTTTATGTCTTTATCCAGTGAAACTATTCTAAATTATTAATGCTTTTCATCTTCAGAAAAAGAACACAAGGTTCATGAAGGACTCCTGAGTTGGTGCTCTGATCTCAGATCAGGTTCGTCCATATTTATGATGAGACTGACCGCAGATCAGCGCCACTGCTGAGGTGGTTTGTGAACGCCAGCCTTGTGAGCGAAGTCAGTCCACTGCTGACTAAGACTGCTCTTTTCCTCCTCCCATTAGAATACAGCAGGTTACACCTGTGGCACTGCACCTGTTTGGAAAACGCCTCTCTGCTACCTGCTGTTGGCGTTCAGAGGGTTAATCCCGCCCCCTCCTTACGCAGGTTCGCCTGTCCCGCGCGCTGATTGGTCGGCGGCGGGATGATTGACAGGCGTGCGGAGCACCTGGAAATCAGTCAGCGCAGCGATTCGCCCAGAAACGCAGCACGATGCGGACTCTGAAACGGGGTCAAAAAATACACCATTATCTGGAAAGTCGCTGAACAACCGCACCTCTGTGGGACCCCCACAGTCGTCCCGGTGTGTCCGCTGCCCGTTTGGATGTCTGAAAAGAAGAGAAAGAGGGAATATTTTTCTCAGAGGAACCACTTTTTCCCAGGCTAGGCTACTCGTTTCGTTTTTTTCCTGTGGGGAAAAGAAGCAGAGGAGGAGGAGAAGGAGAAGGAGAGGGAGGAGGAGGAGGACGCCACCCGAGAGCTAACCGTATTTCAGCAGACTGAATGAGGTGGGAATACTGAAAGGATGACTGCTTGATTTATTTCCCGGTTTCTACCATTTCTACGGCTCTACCTCGCCTTTTCCCCCCTCCAACCTTCCTCCGGACTCGCTATGGTGGACTCGAGTGCGATGAGGAAGACTTTCGTGGTCCCGGACATAAAGCCTTTGGATCAGTACGATTTCAGCAGAGCCAGGATCTGCTGCAGTGTGGGCTGGCTGCTGGCGAAATCCTACGGCAATGCAGGTACGGATATAACTGGGAGAAACCTAGGAAATGTGTCGCTTTCCTCCCTCACATAGAAAAGCACAGCACTGTTTCACTGTTTCTACTCCCTTCAGCATCTGAGTGCTGTTGTTCTCTCGCCCTGCCATCAAAAAGCATGAAGGTGAACAGCCGGGCTGTGAACTCAGCGCTTTTTGAAGGGGGGCACACAAAGAGCACATGTGTGGAGTGGAGAGCTATTCATGTTAACCGTTCTCTGTCTTTCTATCCACAGCATAATGCTAAAGGCCTCCTCACTATAGAAAATACCTCAGTGCTACATGTCTATAACGGTCATTTTAGAGCTCAGTGAATATCATGTGGTTGCCACTTACCATACAAAAGTGACTACTGCTTTTCTGTTGACTTGTGTGATGCTGATATGGTGATATTGATGAATGAATGAGTGAATGATGACCTAGGGAATGAGGCATTGCAGCAGTGTGCCGGTGCTGCCTATTTTCCATTACAGTAGACAATAGGTAGTCAATTCCTGCATGCTGTGGGATTATTTTTTTACTTAAATGTAAATGAGTGTTATTGTGGGAGCTGGCTCTGTGAGCCTTGGCCTGTCAGTGAGGCGAGCACACACCCACCTACACTGATCCTTTTGTTAATGCAGCCACATCACGGTTTCTAATGGGAGTCTCACTGCTTCTGAGAGTGTGGTGGGAGCGCACCACTTCTTTGATGCAGTTTCAGGTTTTCATTTGGCAGGTTATGCTTCTGTCTGACTGGGACTTGAAAGTTTTTTCCCCCTCCACTGTGACCACCTTGGGACCCTACACCTTTCAAGGGGAATTCCACCATTTTGTGCAAATTTTATGAATAATGCAGCGGCTGAGATGTAAACAAAATCATTCGATGTGGCTTGATGTGAGGCGGTTCTTTGTTGAGAAACTTGTTCGGATTTTCTTACGGGGTCACAATGTCTGCAACACAAATACAGCCATTTTATTCACTATTCAAACCCACCAGTGAGTCTACATGTGTCTTCTGAGTTTTTATATGTAATGGTGGTGGTAAAGTGCTGGTAAATCTGAAAAAAAATGTCTTCTTTAGGGACTGTTTTGCCTTACAGCTCCCTGCGTGTTCCATGAAGGGACTAAAGAAATACATTTTAGCTCAAAAGCTTATTTTATACCTAGTGTGAAAATGTCACACATTCATATTTATAACGATTTCATGTGATTACTTTCTGTGAGGTAGCTTTTAGAGGCATTGAACTCTTCAGACGTCTGCTTCCCATCACCACCTCTGTGAACAAGTCTGACTCGGCAAGTTTCTCTAGAACGGAGCATTCCACATCAAACCACCCGAATGGTTTGTTTATGCCTTGACCATTTCATTATGGAGAAAATGTGAAAATCAGTGGGATTTCTCTTTAACACACAAATCTACAGAGAAACTTGTGTACCATGTAAATGTAACAAAGAAGTCATGATCCCTAGACATTTGTTTTTCTGGCTCAGGGTTGTTGGGAGTTGGATTAGGGCAAGTAAATGTTCTAAGGCCTGTTGTTGTTGTTGTTGTTGTTGTTGGCTGGCTTGTTGTACAACAGCAATGGCTTAACAACAAGTTCTGATGTTTCCAGTGTTTTTGAAAGGGGCTGCATGATGACATTAGAATCATCATTGTCAATATCAGAATATATTTGCTTTAAATATGGTGTATTGTGGACTATAGGTTGAGGGTGTGTGTGTGTGTGTGTGTGTGTGTGTGTATATATATATATATCCCCACTGCCCACTACTAATATAATATAAATAAATGACAACAGAAATTAAAAACATGAATTAACACATGATTAAAACAATAGTTTTAAAAATCACTACATTAAAATCAAATTCTAAATTAAATTAAGATAGGTTAAAAATCTAATTAAAACTAAAAAGTTAGATTAGGGGGAAAAAAGGTGCTGTTACAGAGGAAAAGGGTCTAAAAACGGCAACAGTGTTTTAAACTGCGCTGAAATCCTGCTCAAATAGGAGCGTTTTGAGCCTGGATTTAAAAACCTCTAGACTAAATGTCTGTTGATACTGAAATGATTCTAATATCATCGTATATCCCTAGTTTATTTATTTTCTATCGGCAGATATGTACATGAAAAATATCAGCATATCAGCATTGGCACAAATTACCGTATCTGTGTCCCATGTCTTTTCCCCCCCAAGCTAAGAGTTGCAGTGAAGGATAGACCCCGGGCTTTGCTATAGTAAGCTGACGTTGAAAATTTAACTTGCTTACTGTAGAAGAAAAATGAGCCAACACGTGTGTTGTTGTGTGTGTTTATTTTATCTCTCTTCTCTTTCTTCCCCTGTTCCCTGTCCCATGGTGCACCTAATGAGCCGCTTTTAATTCACTTATTACTCTGCATTCCTGTACTCGCTTTGCCTTAGTTTTCGTTGGCTAGTGTACAAAACAGCAGCCCAGACTAAAGGCAAGCGGACACAGTGCAGACATTGAGTTAAGCACAGTAAAACCATCACTGATGTGTTACGGTAGATCAAGGTCTGCACATGTACTGTCAGTTTATGACTTCTATGTCAGTAACTGTCTCATTGTTTTATCGGAATATCTTAGCTCTTAGTTCAACAGATGAAAACAAACAAGTCCCTCCAGTGGAGTACTTGAGTTAGACCTGGGAGGGACACAAACTGAGTTGTACTTTATCAGCTTGGCCAATGTGTCGTTAGTTATGCAAGCAGTAGGCTCTAGCTCTGTTTGTTTTCGCTCTCTCTTTGCATCAATGGCCAGGCTGCTTGACCACACCCTCTGGTCAAAGTCACCCTCCCTGGAACGCACGCTGAAACTGAAGGGGGGGGCTGAAGCAGAGCAGATTAAGCGAGCTTGGCTGGAGTGAGGATTTCGCTACGTGTGGGCATGCCTGTATGGGAGCGTGTTTGTGTATGTATACGACCCTACAGCGACAAGATCCTGCTGAGCCAGGACTGCACTTATCTTCCTGTCTGACTTTGATGACATCATCAGTTCTCCTCTCTGAACCTGGACTGTGTAGTGAGCTCCAGTCCTGCTGTTTTGTCCTGTGCTGTCACTGCCCCTGTCACTGCCCCTGTCACTGCCCCTGTCACTGCTACACTGTTTATGGCATATTTAGTTAGAAAATTGGCAGCTGCCTAACCCGAGTAAGCCTACACCTAAAATGCCCTGAATGATCTACTTATTAGTGGATTTTGTTAAGTAAATATGATCCTGCTGGATGTGTTTCAGGAAGTAAATGGATATTTTGGCCCAGTAGTGCATTTCCACCTCAGTGATGCTTCATGTGACTTCAGCAACACCATTAATTTATTAATCAGTACTCCTACTTTCATAAGTGAGGCAAGTTGTAACTTGTCCCCTGTACAGTTTATGCTTTTTGTGTTTAAGATGAACATGTTGAGTATATAGTCGTATAAAAAAAACGTTTGAACACTGTCATATGACATGTTCTATTGATTTTCTAAGTGAAAGTAACACATCCTCTACATGGCATTCACATATGGCATTTTATACAGCTTTCTGTGCAAATTTCTCTTTATTTTATTAAGTTTACCTTATAAAACATAATTTAAAATGTGATGAATATAAATAAATTGTAGCTGGATTAGCTTAGATGCAAGGCATCCATGTCACTTCACCTAATATCAGCTACAGCTACACTACTTTACATGTGGCATTTGAAGATAACGATACCTGAAAAATTCATTCAGGGGAGCACTTTACATCAAGAAAAGTACTTAAAATACTCAATACTCAAAAAATATTCAGAATACACAGAAGTTATTATAAAAGGTTTGTATATCACAGAGGCACAACAAGTTTAATGAACAATATCTAAGAATAGTGATACTTATTTGAATCCCACTGGTCTCTGGTGAGGATGACACCAAAACCTGGATGCTCAGAGTCTCAGACTTGTTTGTTGTAGTTCTGGCAGTGGATACAGAAATCCATAAAAACTGTATTTGAATGAGAGGACTACAAACATGGCTATTCAAGTACATGTGGCAAGTCAGGTTCATGTGTATTCAAGTACACACACAGAAATAGCAGTGAGTATTCTAAGCCTGCTGTTCTGACCAGTCACAGTACAGATATTTTCATTATATATGCGTCACGATACTAAGTTTTTCCTGATTTCATAAGTTTTAACAGATAAAAAGCTATCAAAACCTATGGAGTTCTTATTAATGGCTGACATACTGTGCTGTACTAAATCCTGGTAAACAAGACTAATTATGCTCTGTTTATAATGATAAATGCGGTTTGTCAGTGCTGATGGTATTCATAATACAAAAAGGAATCAGTATTGTCATATTGCCCCCTCCCAACATTCAATATCAATGTCCCATTAGTGTGTAAATACACCGATCAGGCGTAACATTATGACCACCTCCTTGTTTCTACACTCATTGTCCATTTTATGAGCTCCACTTACTATATAGGTGCACTTTGTAGTTCTACAATTACAGACTGTAGTCCATCTGTTTCTCTGCATACTTTGTTAGACCCTTTTTACCCTGTTCTTCAGTGATTAGGACCCCCATGGACCCTCACAGAGCAGGTACTATTTGGGTGGTAGTTCCTCCATTCACATATGTGTATTCAAAGTATTTTTAAAAACAAGATTAGCTTGTATTACTGTTATAAAAGTATGCAAACTGGTGACTGTTTAGCAGCTTAGCAGTCTCTGGCTGGCATAAGAACGTAAAGCCATCAAAATCCTCAGAAATTAGCATTTCTGGTCATTTTACATGTATCTTTTTGTTGTAAATCTCTGAAACGCAGTCTCAATATCCGTGTATAATATTTGTGATGTTTTATGTACCATAAACAGCCGTAAATCAGTTTTACATGAACATTTTCCAACCTTTCTTTATCCCTTACAGTTAAACAAGCTGCTTTTTTTGCCACCTAGTTTAGCTTAGTTTCCAGATATGGATTTAAAACTTGCTTGGAAAAAGTGAAAAGTTTGGCGC